AATGCTGGGCCACATCACTTCCCACCACATGGAATGGGAGTTGGTTTGACACTGGCTATTCCAACCAGCCCCTGCACAGCAGAGGCCTCCAGCTGCCAGCAGCCCCACCTCGTAGGGCTGGGTCTAAGGCACCAATTTCCCTGGTAGTCACTGACATCAGTACAAGTTTTGACATGATCTGAGTGTGTAAGGACACTATCAAGTAAATCTGAACCTGGAAATCAATCTAAAACACCTCTGTCCCCACAACTGGTTTTACCTAATTCAACACAGAGGCAATCTGATGGGAGAAAAATCTTCTGTTTTCAATTCCTGTACAGCAAGAAACCAGAAACTGTCATTAAGATAAAACACATGAAGTATAATGGCAGTGAGTCAGAAAGAGCAGTTCTCACAGATCTCTCATAGAAAATCTGGAGAAAACTTGTCTTCCCCAAGACAAATTCCATTTTGATTATATTCTATTTTGATTCTAGCATGTCAATTCCTATCATTCTAGCAACTATTTTAGCAAACTTCTGCCTCTAAAACCAAGCAGCATTTTGCAACCTTATAAAAACAATCACCCAAACTGCTGTGACTATAAACTGTATGGTGTTTTTTTACTGCAGTATTTTGGAAGCGACACCTATAAATACCCTCCCTTTCAAAGCAGGCTGCAGGACATATGGAGGCACTGAAATTTAAAATCCATGAAAGCTCATTTGCTTTGTGAAACAGTATCCTAATTTGGAATTTTCTACTTGATTGTAAAGGGTTTTTTTTTACAGGATGTGTACCGTGGTCGTACTGGGGGCAGCACTGAGAACTCAAGGAAAGCATCAAGAAAGCACCAGATAAACTATGACTGTGGCAAATCCTGCCTATCGTTCTAAAACAAGATCCATTTGCCACAATGGAGAGAAACCAGATTGATACAGATAAAGGCTCATGCTCTGTAGGCTGCCAGAAGCTCATGTACAGAGCAGCGAGCCCAGCCAAATGACCCTGTGTAGGTTCAAACTGCTTGAGAGCTGGAAGGGGCCCAGGCCAGGCAGAGGTGGTGCTGCAGGGTTGTCCTATGGACACATGGCTGCCAAAGGCTGATCCATGAGAGCAGAGGGCAGGCACTGGGAGGAAGGGTGGGAAAGCAGCACACAGCATGAGTGATGTGGCAGTGCTGCCTCCCCCCCGTCAGCTCTTGGGGTGATGCGCCTCATTCCTCACCTTTTGTCCCCAGTAACTCCTGGGGAAGAGATGAGAGCATCAGGAAGTCAACATGAATCTGTTCTGGAGCTCAGGAGGAGCTGTGTTTCAGGGCTCTGTGGTATGGCATCCAACAGAGGAGACTTAGTGTCTACTGCAGGTCTCTGGGGGTGTTAGAACAGAAAGAAACAGTGGTAATTCATGACCAGAATGCTGTTGACGGATGCTAATGCTTCAGAGTAGAAATTAACAAGGATCATGAAAACCCACAGTACAAAAAGCTCCTCCAGAACCAAAAGTCCTGCACAAAACTGGAAGTCCTATTGAGAAGAGATGACACTGATCATAAACTTGACTGTAGGCAGGTGTCCTGCCTTGTTTTGATGTTGTGCACATCAACAAATACAGATTATCCCAATTCCTGTCTATTTTCTTGCATTTTACTAGAAATCAGTTGTTCAACACTAGACTTATGCAGCTAGACAGAAATGAGAACGTGCCACATGTTCTTCCTAGGGTGTCAATAATGAATGGAAGGAACCAGTGACTATCCCTTGATAAATGAACTTTGCTGTTATTACCAAGCGTAGGCTGTATCAGGATGTAACCAGGGAGTGGGCACTATTTCATCCTTTACTTGTGTTATGACATATTTTGCTATGATATCATGGCAAGGAAAACTGGCATCAAAACACAGAGCACAGTGCAAGAAGCCCTGTACTGCTGGTCCGCATACACAAATAATCGAAAGACTGGGGTTTTGTTCAATCTGCTTATATTTATAAAACCCTGGCAATAACTACTGTACTATTATTTAAAATACAAGATTATTCTGCTTAAAAGTTAGTCAAGGAATATTTCTGTGTCTTTTGGGAATGGTCTTTGTGTTTTACAAGGTCAAGCTCTAACTGTGATACAGACTGGCTGCTGAGCTTAGGGTTTCTTTTAAACTCTGTAGAAGTTATTTCCCTAATACAATGAGAACTCCTAACCAGATACAATATAAAAAAGGACAATGCAACTTCAAGCTAAGATGCTTGCTGATACTGTTCAGCAGTAACAGGTACTCCAACACTGCGCTGCTAGTGGTAGAAGCTACAACTATCAATATTTATCTCCTCTGAGAAATGGACTAAAAATGCATTTCCTTGCATTTGGGAGAGCATGTTCCTGAGCATAGAGATTTCCAGGCTCAGCAAAATCCCTTTCAAATGCTATGATGGAAATACGTCTTTGTCTAAATGCTGGTGGTAATTTGACAAAACTTACTGTTTCAGAATGAAGCTTTATCAGAGAACAGGAGTTCTGCTGAGGCCTTAAAAACTGTTGCCCTTTTACGTTTTGATATGACTGTGTCATGAAGAAATGAGAGATACACCTACCAAAACCCTGCTCAGTCGCTGGACCTGCATGGGAAGCAGAACAGCCAGTTTTAAGGGCTGGTTTTGAATGAGCAAGTCCAGGTACCCTGGGACTGACCGTGGCATGTACCTGCCTTTCTGCTCTTGTGACAAGTTGCTTCATGTTGGGGTTGAGAAACTTTCCTAGCCACAAGCTTCTCTAGAACCCACAGCCCCACTGAAAGGTCCTGTTGTGTGCAGCATGTCCCAAAGCATGTCCCTTCCATGCTGCCTGGGTGTACACACACCTACAGGGACCGTGGTTATCGACATTTCTGATGGCCACTGGGTTCTTGAAGTGTGATCTTGCTGTAAATCCTCCATATACGTTCAGAATGCTTTGCAAGACTCTTGAAAACCCAACTGGATTATTTCAAGGGTAGCTGCAGGCTATATAAGATCATAACTAAAAGGTGCTTGCATGGCCTTTGCGAGGTCTTGGGTTAGGCATTTCAGTTGAAATGATTTAATTCTCAGCTATTTCTGAAAGTTAGTTGTGAATTTTTAACTTGTCACAAAACTATTTTTGTTATGAGCCTAGTATTTTTAATCTGATTGTACAATGAGTATGTACAGGACGTGCAGAGAGTAGTAGTTTGATGTGCTGATCTAGACAACCTTAGGCAAACCGTGCCTTAGTTAACCACGAAGAGGTATGCCTGGGAGCTCAATGTTACAGAAGACACTTTGCCCAGCATATTTCTTCACTGCAGTAATCAACTTGGTCTGTTTAGATCATCTACAGCAGTAGCCATGGAATACCACCTGGATATCAACCAATGGCCCTCAGTTTGTTCATCACTTCCTAGTCCTACTGCCCTAAGTCAGACTTGAGAATCAACAACATACAACTACTGACCGCAGAGGCCATCGAAATACGTGCTTGGATTTGGTCTTGTTCCATGCCTTGAACTTCCTGTGTAAGGGTACAGCCTCACATCTTTTTTACCTTTTCACTCACATAAAAAGCTTCCTCTAGGTGAGAACAGAGTTGGCAACAGGTCTAAATCCTTCTCAGGTGTTAGCCCTGGATTTAGGTCCAGCCTTATGATTTAAAGCCAAAACTTCAGGCTGGAAAAATAAAAACTAACTATATGAGGACGCAGGGTACAATATGGTGAGCTCAGATTTGAATGTGGATCTAAAATCCAGAAATGAGACCCAATTCTAGTAATTCTGGGTTTGTTTTTGACAGACTGAGCATGTCTCTGCAGGTGATGGGAGGAATAAAAAGAAGAATCAGAGCACTAATAGTTGTAAACCTAACTTCGCACTGTTCAAAACCACAATCAATCTGCCGCTGTGAAACATGCCCCCATGTACATACAGAGAGGTGAGAAGCTACTTTGTGAACACCTCAATCCCAGCCTCACAAAGTCAATTTCCATGCGTCTGGACTGAGATGGTTCAAACGACGGCAATGAATTTACAATTCCTAAACTGGATTTGTGAAGTGACAAAACATGTGATTCTTGAAGCAGCTCTGTCCTGCACGGCAAGCTATAGCTGTATGCTAGTGCTCTCTAATCAAACCTTATGCTGCTCCCTCACAAAACAACCTTACAGAAAGAGGATGTATGATACCTGTTCCACACATCCAGATCGCTACAGCAACAAGTGATCTGAAGCTGAAAAAGAATTCCAGACTCTTGTATTCATGTCTGTGTCCCATGTATAACGTGAGTCGGAAAACCCAGATACAGATCTGGGGTGATTAGCACTTAAATTAATAAGGAACATAGAGAAAGAGCTGTGCCTAAAACATAGCACCACAGAATGTTTTGGGTCAGAAAGGACCTTCAGCTCATCCAGTTCCATACACCATCAGCACATTCTTCCTTATTTTAAGTTAAATCTGTTATTTTAAATAAAATCTGTGATAAAATCATTAAAAATATGCCTTTTATTGCAGCTTTTCTTTTTAACCCAGTATCCCTTGATAACTACCAGTTGTTCAGGGTTCACAAGCAGAGCACTGAAACGGTGCCTTTCCATGAACGAAGTTCTGTCCAGGCTGCGAACAGGGACATCAGTTGAAGAAAACGCGCCCAAGTGCCGGGGAAGATCAGGGGCTGCAAATGCAAACAGAGCTGGGAAAAGGGCGGCTTTGTTGACCAAACCAAAGCAGAGGAGGCGGCAGGAGCAGGCTTGGAATTCAAACGGGAAGGAGATTTACCGGAGGATGAGAAAATCTTTCATCTGCTCAGATCGAAAAATCCGCTTGAGAGACTCATCAAAGATGGTTTTGTGAAGGCGGTTGGTCACGACGAGCTCCCCTAACCGGTACCAGCAGCGCTGCAGTGCTCCCGAAGGTAACCTCTCCTCCGGGGCAGCAACTTTCGCCAATGATGTGCTTTTGCCTTGAAGGAAGGCGGGGTTAGGAGTCAGTGTCGGGGCCATAAATACGAGGGTCCTATGTCAGGGAAGCAGAAGTCAGTGCACAGCACAGAGCCGGCGTTAGAGGGATCCCCGAGCCCGCTGCGCCGCTCGCTGCCGGCCGGGACCGGACCCGACCCGCTCCGCTCCAGGCGTCATGAGCCGCGCAGCCGCCGCGCTGGGGCCGCTGCCCGCGCTGCTGCTGCTGCTGCTGCCGGCGCGCACGGCGCTGCTGGCTGGGGCCTGCAGTTGCGCGCCCGCGCATCCCCAGCACCTCATCTGCGACGCGGCCCTGGGTGAGTGCGAGCGGCGCCGGGAGCGCGGGGCTGTGGCTGAGGGCGGTGCGATGCGATGCGGGGAAGCACGGCCACAACCGGCCGAAACGGCTGCATTAGTTAGTGACTTCTTACTCTGAACCAGAACTGCTTCTCTACTGCGTCCTAACGTGGAGCAGGCAGGGGGAACACCTGGACTTTCACATGGCTGCTGTTAACAGCACCCGTAGTTACTAGAGCCGCTAAATGCTCGCTATGTATAAACCATGCATAGGGGTGTTTTACTAACAAATCGGGAGGACGGCATCCCCAGGACATAAAATAACAGCCCCCGGTGCTACGTATTGAAACACTCGGTCTCTGTTCTGCTCCACCCCAACTGCTTTAATCGGCTCCTGGATTACTTTGTCATTTTCTAATACTTGAGCAGGACAGTGATGGGCTCTTTATTCTCTACAGCCAAACTGGCAGCAGCACCGCTGTACGAATGCAACTTCCCATCGTTAGGACAACTGTGTCTCATGATACTCACTCTGCACTGGGGTTGGGAAGCAACTCACAGAAAGAAACTCAAGATCTCAAAATTAGGGATAAGAAAATGTGTCATTTTGCAGTCCTTTGATTTCCCAGCTCAAGCTAAGGCTGGTTTAGCTTCCGTCTAGTGTGGCCAGTAAATGTAGAACATGAGTTTCCAAAGTGTCACAAAATTAGCATCTCTATGGGCAGGCAGTACTTTCTGCATACTGATTAATGGCTTTTATACCCTGACACAAAATCTTTGTGGCCATGACCGACTCTGAGCTCTGTTTGTGGCCATCAGTTAAATTGGGTTTTAATTTGCTCGTGTTAAGCAGTGTTTTCCATGGAGTTACCTCCACCAAGCATTACAAACTTGGGCTTGTTTAAGGTGGGACAGAAAACAGAACTTGTGCGACCAGGAGCTTAACTCTGTATGTGCACATTGAGCCATATTCCTCTGCTGCATTCCTGGACATCAGAAAGTGATGGCTTTTAGACTTATTGTAGAGATTTTCCCAAACAAAAAAAAAAATAAATCACAATATAGAGGAAACTCAAAATGCTCATTCTGAGGCATCTTCCTCAGGAAAGTTATTCTGGCCATTCCTATGGCAGATAGTAAGATTTATTCTAGTCTTAGATTCATTTTACAAATGGCAGCTATAGGCTTTCATATCTAAATACTGAAGCTCGTAAAACACAACTGCTTTGTATTTGGACTTGATGCCCAAGCTCTCACGTCTATAAATGTTCCTGTTTAAGTAAACTGCTCCTTTTGGCTACGGAACATTCATATCAAGGATCCCTTTGTTTAATATCTGTCACTTTAAAACAGTATTTCTATATATTATAAAATGTCAGAGACATGTAGGTATCCTTTCATATAAATATGTGCATACATGGTTTTATACATTCATATGCATAAAACCTGCCCTAAAGTGTTTAAGGGTGAATTATTTGCTTTCCTGTGGCAACACCATCTTCCATAAACAAAGTCACTTTAAAGGATCTGTGGAAGACCAGTGGAGCTATGTGCCCCGTGTAAGAGGAATCCCTCCTAACCAGGGTGCCAGAGGTGGCTCCTCCAGCCTGCTGCCTGCAGCCGTGGGTTTAGATGCCATGTGTGGGAGCAGGCTGCAGGCTGGGGCTGCCCATGGGAAGGGGCAGCACCATCCCCTGGGAACTGGGGCTGGGCCTCTGCTGTTTGATGCATAGTGGGTCTGAAGCCACCTGGTTCTGAAGAGGGACTGGGAAGCTCACACTGTGCCAGTAAGCATCCTGTGCTGCAGCATAACTGAAACCTCTCCTCCATAGCACCATATTGAAAGATATTTGGAGGGGTGGGGGGGTGGGTGTTTAAGATGTAATAAGATTAAAGATTAAACTGAAAATCCGTACTCCCATTTCAACACTTTCATACTTCCAAAAGGTTAAACAAAGGGACAGCTCTTCAGCTACCAAGATCTATGGGAGTCGAGTGTTAATCCAGCTGTTTGCTGAGACTCTTCTGTTTTTTCAGTGATTGAATTCATCCATCCATCCATCCATCCATCCATTTACCCACAAACACATTCAAGTATTTCCTCACAGAACATCCAGCACATCTCCTTTAGAAGAAAGAAACCATGAGATGCCTCTAACTTCCACAGCAAAATAAAAGCTGAGACAAACCCAAAGCACACACTTGGGTCACTGCATTATTTCTCAGTTCACTCTCTACCATTTTACATTTCCTTTGATCACTTGTCATTTGGGTGGAGTGAAAATGGAGGTGGAAGGGGCTGAGTCATTAGACACTACTTTAGCCATTAACTGAATGTGTGAAGCCACTCAGCAAGCTTAGCATTTATATGAGAAAAACAACAAGCTGATAAAGTAATTTAAGTCAAGGACAAGCTCTTCTCACTTTTTTTGTTCCTGTGATTAATGCTGTGATACCTTGGCTTTTACTGCCAGGAGGGTTTTGTGGCTCTGTTCTCTTTCTAAACACCCACACAACCTGAGTAACTTGATAGAAGTAACAGGCTTTCGACAGACCTAGAGTAAAAGAGAGCTGCTGGTCCTGCTGAACCTAAATAAGGAATAAGTGAAGAGCCCCGCAGGTGTTACATGGCTGTTAACACTGCAAGGATGGGTATGTAATGATGGGCAGTAAGTCAGGAGTGCCATGGCAGTCCTGCCATCTATCCGAGTTTGTGAGTTCATCTGCCCACTTAGCTGTACCAGGGTGTGAATTTGTACAAATCTGAACTTCTCAGTAGCCTTAAACTTCACAGAGAGGCCAATCCTCATTTGAAGGAAGTGCCTGGCACCATGAAGATACACACCTGTTATCCCTCTTGTGTTCTTCTAACTGGTGCCCAGGCCCTCCTAAAAGGTGCTGAATGCCTCCAAACCCCAAAGAACACCCATATTTCTCAAGAGGACTTTCACTGGGCATGGAGCTGGCAGGTTTGTGACACTGCAATTCCATGCACTGCACTGCTCATTGCCAGTGCTGAGCCCTGTGCCCCTGAAGCATCCAGGAGGCCTTCTCCATACTGCAATGAAACGTGGTGAGGACATGCTGGTTAAGGTTTCAAATCCAGTAGCAAGGCACCATAGTGTCAAGCCAATGAAAGAAAATTCCTCTGATAATGGCTCTTTTTGGAGAGAACCATGGATGCAATTGAGTTTATCAGGTAGTGTTGAGATACCAGATTTCCCTTTTACCACTGACTTCAGTCTTCCTATACTAACCCAAACCAACCTTCACATCAAATTAGACAATCTGGAGAGAGAAATGGTAACTGAAGAGAGGACCAATTCCTTTCCAAAGTTGGACACTTTTAAATCATGCTGGCTTTCCCCCTTAGGCATAAGCAAGGTTATATTTTGGACAGCAGGATGAACGTGTAAGCACTTTGCATTTCTTAGATATATAACACCAGTACCCTCCCTTTCAAGTCAGATGTGTTCTTTCTGATTTAAACTGTCTTACTGTTGTTTCTTCTTAAACATCTATATAAAAATGGTATTTTTCTTGAATACTGGGCACCACATTCCAACAGAACTGAAAGACCTCGAGTACAAATCAGTATATAATATAGCTTCAGAGCACAGTTCTATAGCTTTGGAGAAGGGTGGCACATTTCAAGTATGAGGGAAGCTTTACAGCTGGAGCTTGGCAGCATTTTCAGCCTGTTAAAATCACTGAGATCAGGCATTGTAAAGATGTGCGAGATGATAAATCGGGTTTTAATCACATATAAAAAGAACAGTAAAAATCATATTTAAGCACACCAGAATTAAATTTGCAAAGTCAGCTCCCCCAGGATAAAATTACAATACACTATGTCTTTATTACTGCATTTCCTAATAAAAATTCCACTGCTCAGTGTCCCCCAGTTTTGCCTCTCTGCATCATAATATCTAGTTTTGTACTGGAGTGGATTAATTTGTACATTATTAGAGAGGGAAGTAACTGCCCTGATGGGAAAAATCAGCGTTGGAAAACGTATCAGAAATGCAGACAGTGTTTCTTCCAAGTTAGGTGAGAGAAGGTGAACAGGGACACGAGAGTAGACTTTTCTGTTTCATTTTTACTGTATTACGTTGCAGGCACTCACCATATTGTTAATCTCAGAGAGACTACTTGCTGTGAGCAGTGTGATTATGCAGATAGGACACCTGCATGTTCAAGCTGATGAGCACCTGCAGTGGGGGTTTTGACACAAAATGAAGCAGCTCTGTAATGAATCTTCACGTGGTTGGGAGTAGAGCATTCACACAGCTGTAACCACACCATGGACCAGAAGACCATTACAGACAGGAATGCAGACCTTCATCTTCAAGGGGGGGGGGTGTCAGCAGTGCCCCAACACCTCCTGACTCCTGAAGGCCATGCTTGAGGGAGCAGGCAGAGCGTGGCACATCCTAGGTCACAGACCCCACTAACAGACCTGGGGTCACCTAGCTTATAGCACAGAGTTGCCTACAGTCTTTTAGACTCTCCTCCATAGCACAGAAAGGTTAAAGCACTTGGCATATGATCTGCATTTACATTATTGTCTTGCCAAAGGGAGGCTTCCTAGCAAGGTCCTTCCTCTAGAGTGAGCAATCGGTGACAACAACGCATAGGTTAGTCCTGAAGTAGCTTGTCACCAATGAAAGGAATTACACAGCTATCATTTCTCAGGGGTCCCATTCCCCCAAAATGAAAGCCGAGTTTCTGTTCCAAGAGTTGTGACTTCCATTATAGCAATAATGCACTGGACTTTTGCTGTTCCTATTCTCTCTCAAACAACAACAGCACTGCACCTGAGCATCCTTCTTGCACAAATAATTACGAGAAAGAAGCTGTGAGACTCTATTACCATAGATAATCATAGAATCCCAGACTGGTTTGGGTTGGAAGGGACCTTAAAGCTCAGCCACTTCCAACCCCTGCCATGGGCAGGGACACCTTCCACTAGAGCAGCTTGCTCCAAGCAACCCGGCAAGATATTAGTGCCATTGACAGA